ATTGTTAATTGTTATTATACATTATTGAAAACTTCTTTGTACACAACATTTTTAGTCGTACTAAGACATGGTACACTTTCCCCGCAAATCAAAATTTTCAAACCCCTGGGGTTACTAACTCTTGAAACAGCTACGTATAGTTGTCCATGGTTAAAGACCGGTTTTTTCAACAACAACCCAACTTTAGCAAGCGTTTGTCCTTGACTTTTGTTGATTGTCATGGCATAGGATAGCATCAAGGGAAATTGCTTTCTTGAAATTTGAAAGGCAATCTAGGATCTGACGGTGTAAAGACATCCTAGGAATCAATACTCTGGTTCCTGCATTTGTACCGCACATGATTTGGCCTTCCAACACATGGTCAGCCAACCTTGTAACAATCAACCTTGTACCGTTGCATAATCCTAATGTGTGATCAATATTTCGCAACAGCATAACAGGTGATCCAACTTTCAATGTCAACGCATGATTTGGGACTCCAGAACATCTCAATGCATTCAAGAATTCCGGAGTGTGCAAATCCGCTAACATGTCCACATTGGCATCTGACTTACACACAGAATCACAACTCAGGTATGTCTTACTCTCAGCGGGATTATGGTCATTCATGTATTGGTTAACGGCATCTACCACATCCAATGTTGGAGCTAAAATGCACTATGATTAAGATATGACAAATCGGCAAGTCCCAGGAAATTGGGGAAAGTGCTATCAACAATTGTAGCAATAGGGTCATCTTCGCACTTTAACAACAAATCTTCTGGAATAGTAATCTCTGACTCCCCATCCAGTTGACACCCAATCATTCCGTCACCTATATTAGCTATCCATTTAGCAAATTCCTCGATCTCCTTGCACTCGGATTCTGATTGAACACTTTTCAAGCGTAGATTCTTAGTCAGCCTCAAGACTTTACAGGATTGCCATAGATAGGATGAGCTAATGCTCGCACGAACTATATCAGTCTAGTACCCTTGGGAATGACTGGTAAAATTTGCCTGAAATCGCCACCCAAAACAACTGTTTTGCCACCGAATGTCATATCAGAACTCCTTGGATTTACGAAGCGCGCATCAAATCCCGCATAGTTCGATCCAAAGCTTCAAAGCAGAATTTATGCATCATTGGGGCTTCGTCCCATATTATCAGCTTTGTTTGCACAAGAAGTTCCGCCAGTTCACTGCCGTTCCTTATGTTGCACGTGGAATCTTCATTAACAGATATCGGTATAGCAAATCTGGAATGCGCCGTACGACCACCAGGTAAAACAGCGAAGCTATGCCGCTAGAAGCAACATTTAAAACTATTTGACTCTTAGACCTTAATGCGGAAGAAAGTGCTCGCCACAAGAAAGTCTTACCTGTCCCTCCATAACCAGATACGAAGAATAACCCACCTTGCTGGCAATCGACGTCAGTTAACACTTCATTGTATATTGCCCTTTGTTCGTCTGTTAACTGCCTTACCAATTCTTGATTCTCTTTCTCTTGTTCTCCACGATCGTATGATAATTCTTCTTGAATCAACCTATTTGCAATAATGTTTAACGCACCAAATTGGCCGTTGGCATCTCAGGATAGTCCTTCAAACTCTTACCATGATTAGATAATAGCTTTTCAATCTGAACTAAAGCAAAGTTCATTTTCTGCGAATCGGTCAACACAAACTCTGCATACATATATATAAACATTTGTTGTTATAGCTCAAATACGTTAAATTTGACTTAATATTCTTTTAAAAATGTACGATTACCTCTGTTCTGCAGTTGTGTACGGATATTGAATTGGGCATCGTCTGATAGATGTTGCCAAACGGCGTGCCAAACTATTTCCGGTTTTCCCCATGCAACTGCTCATTAGTATTGTCACAAACAATCTCCTCAATTGTTCCGCTGACGCCCAATGACTGGCTTCATCTATTGCATCAACATATTCGTTGTCATCATCAACTAAACCTCTTGCATAACACGCATCTCAGAATGAGTCATATTGTACTCCATTTACAGTCCTAATATCTTCGTAACTTTTTAGGGCCGCGGACTTGTTGAGCAAACACCTCAAATAGAAGATTTCACCAGTAGCTGGCGGAACATAGAATATACGTCCTATGGAGAACCCTTTCTTTCGTGGCTGCCATTTTCTAAGGTCTTTCTTCCAAACGAATCTTGTTGGCATCTCAACATAAGTAAGCTCTCTGGCACCGGGGTATGTTTTATTAGCTTCAAACCATTCTAAAAACATGCTCTGTGCTATCGTAGGTCTATTCACAATGTTCTCAACCGCATCATCATCTGCAAATATCACACTCTGTTGATTAGGTAGGTGAAAGCTTAACCTCTCTACGAAGGTGCACGAAGTTGTATATCAAAACCAAACAGATGCCAGACCGCTTCACACGGGATATGTACTACAGTCATAGTACATATTTATCTCATCTACTGCTTTGCCATTCTCGTCATCATTGCCTGTTTTGTAAAATTCGGCTGTTACTCGATCATGACCCTTGTTAACATACTTGAACAGGTACTTGATTGACCTTGATTGGTTGCACCACTCGACATTTATATGAGCCTTGTACTTGAGCAATAAATATCTATTGTGCGGTACCACATACCTGTTGTCCAAGGCGATACCGTTCTTTGTAACTACACTGCCATTGTCTCTCCTTCTATATACCGGGTAACCATTGTCATCAAACGTAGAACTATCAACAAATCTCTTAGGAAAATGTTTAGAGCATCGCGCATTACCATGCATGGAGAATTTGTCCCTCGCTTTTTCCACATGGACCATGCATCATAAATTCCTCTACCGCTTGGTAATACTTAGCATCTTTCTTTTCATCCGGAATCTCTGCGGAAATTATGTTGTCTAGAGTGAGAACTTGCCTAACTTCTTTACTTTTTCTCCAGAAAAAGTAATATATGAGCATGCGGAAGACCTCACTTTTGAAACTCAATTGTATATATGATGTAACAAACATACAAATAAACATAATAAGGTTAAGCAATTACCTAAAATTTATTTAGATAAATTGATTTAAAATAATAAAAAAAAAATATTACCTCCAGCCACAGGGCCAAATAGTTGATTCTTTCGACAGTCAGCTATCAAAGCATCCAACTTAATCTTGAATAAGCGGCAAATTATGTCCGGCCGGTCTTCTGGCTTCAACCTTTGATCTTTTAAAAAGCGTTGCACCTCAGGCCTCGGATTGCATGTAAAAGTTATAAATAAATCTGGGTATCCAATCCATCTACATATTGCCATTGCATCTTGGTAGTTTTTGTATCATGTATCTAGCACCACCCGTAAAACTCGAAGGTAGTATTATTCTACGACCTTGGGCTGCAGGACTTATTTCACCCCTCGTCAAAGCATCAGTCAATCCACTATAACTCTCACACCTTAGCTTTTTTGGTGTGTCCTTATATAAATTAGTCTTCCAGACTCAACCATTGTGTAGCCATCTACAACGAACTGTTGGAACAACCGTTTGGCAAATAATATGGTACTCGGAGCTGACTGTCTAGATTGTATGCGGTAGCAAAAAAACTCCCTGGGGCTAATCCTCTGTCTACCACCAGAAGAGCGCCTGCCTACTACGTCGGCGAATGCAATGTCCTCCCGATAACCATCTTCGCCATATGGAAACAAAATAGGGTATTGCAGTGGTAAGTATGAAGGATTTAATTCAGTAATCCTCTGTAGGTGGCCACCCTTCGATTGAACAATAATATCACGCTCTCCAATACTTGTATCCAGATCTCCAACAATTAAAAGCTGCTACTTCAGAAACTTGAGGCAGATTATATGTCCTCGCATCTCTAGTTCGTTTTCCCAACAACTTTATTTTTACTTCGGCGCATGGATTAATATCCAACTCAGACATAGCCATGCGAAAAGACTTAACCAAGACATTATTTTCATCCAGGTCTTTCTGAATGACATTCACTATTTCTACATGAATGTCATCTTGGTCACCACTACCCCTACAACAACATATACTTCGAATTGATATTTATTTAGATAAAAATAGTATTTAATGTGTAATTACGGAAACTTCTTTACCTCACAGCATTTATACGGTTGTTCCTTTCATTTGCCGTGTCGTATATGTATAACTGGGCAAAATGAGGTTCTTTGCCTTGCTCTGGAAGTAAAGTGCCCATTAGGTGGTAGTTTTGACCACTTAATCGAAAAATTGGAGGTGCTCTCCCCTTGTTCACGTTCTTGTCAATTTTTCCACCCATTGATGTGAAGCAGAACATGTTGTTGTAGGTCCTAATGTTGTGTAAAAACTCTTTTGATATTTCGTCATTGCCGAAAAAGAGATCAAATATACCTTTTGGTGGCAACTTATTATCCGGCAATTTGATCTTCCCATTGTTGCAACACAACATAAACAGTGGCGATGCTTTTGTTGACAAATTCTTCTTCCTTTCTTCAAACCAAAACAGAGCCCCACAATGGACGCACTGATTCGTTGCATCACCAAAATCGCAGTATTGACCTGAAACCAAATATATACAAATTTAAATACTGATTTATATTTCAGGCAGGTATAAAACAAACATACATACCATGTTGTGGACCAGAGGATGTCCCAATTTCCGAGGTCTGCCTAACAGCGTTACCCGATATATTTGCATCTGAAATTAAAAAACATTTAAAAATTATTTTTAATATTGAAAGAGTGACCATATGTACTTTACTTATATTTGTTTGAAACACCACAGGGGACTATTTTTTTACCATCTATGTTCTGATTTGGGACATCGCTCATTGTATTGTTACTTTCATCTTCAAAGGCAGGTAACAAGTCTCTGGTTGTTACATGGTCTTCGACAATTGCATATTTATCTAATGGTTTACGAATTGCCAATTCATCTTGTGTTATCGTCGAACCCGGATTTTGTTTATCTACAATAAAAAATTTCTGGCAATTGCTTGGACCTATTTGTGTATTGCACTGCCGTACTGTACACATACATAATATTAGACAAATTTAAAGAATAACAATATTTAAAGTGACAATTAATTGAGACCACTACATTTTATGGGACTATAAAAAAATAAGTTGGTAGCACGTACTAACATAAAAAGGATAGAATTCTTAATATTATAAATTAAATACACTTAACATTATAACTTATGCTACCCTAGAATATGAAATAGTAATTTAACTGTATAAGTATTATTATATTTTATTGGAAAAATCACATGATAGACCATGGTCCACAATAATGTGTGCACCATAAATAGGAATAAAAGTGAAAAAGTGTATTTCAGCAAAAAATTGATATTAGAAATTGATATTATCAAATAAATCATATATCAGCAAAAAATTAGTGAAATTACAATTCCACACATACTTATATGTACCATGAGTTACATTATAATTAAATTACACATAACAAAAGAAATATAACTATTTGAACAAAAAATTAGAAATTGATATTATCAAATAAATCATATATCAGGCAAAAATTAGTGAAGTTACAATTCCACACATACTTATATGTACCATGAGTTACATTATAATTAAATTCACAAAGAGTCTATAGCAATTCAGCTTAGGGCATTTACCGGTAGTGATGTTACTCAATGGTGTGATATTTTCAGACAAACATCCTCGCTGGGGATTAGTGTAAGGAGTAGCTGTCGTCCGTTGGTCTTGATCTTGAGCAGCATTATTCGTAAAAGAGGAGCAACCGAAATGATTTGCTGTGATTGAAAATATACCATTAAATTAAGAACTAATTCCAATAATTATAACTCGAAACAATTAAGTACACATAACATAAATAATTTTACAATTGCACAACTTTAATACGTAATCGAATAGAATTATGTAGACGATGGTCCACATTCTAACTTAAATACAATTCAAATCTAAAAGTATATATCATTAAGTACAATGTAATCAATTAATTACACCTAATCAATTAATTAGAAATTGATATTAAACATAAATTACATTACAATTATAACATTTAATTTGACAAACAGCTTCGAACAATTAACAGTATAAGGACATTTAAATGAACAATTAATGTATATCAATTCATATATTGGGATTTACCATTACTGATGTTACTGAATGGTGTGATATCTGGGGACAAACCACATCCCAACGGATTTTGGGTTCGATTATTTGGCGTATGTTGCTCTTTCCCTTGACCAGCATTAGTCATTAATGATGATTTGCAAAAATTATTTGCTGTGAGGAAAAAAGAATCAATTAAAAGACGATAAAAACAACAGTAAGTACAACAATTGACATTTTTAAAATTAATCACACTTAATGCTATTCATTACGCTAGCCTATAAGTGTAAATTGTAATTGTTTTAAATAAGGTTTACATAATAAGTAGACCAATAAAAAGGTTTTTTAAATTCACAATGATGCTATATCAATTGAACTTAGTTGATTTACCGTTAGTCATGTTACTCAAGGGTGTGATGTTTTGCGACAAACACCCTCCTAGAGGAATGCGGGAAGGATTTCTTGCCGGAGGCTGTTGTTTTCCTTGAGCAGAATTATTCCTTGATGATGAGTTGCCCAATTCATTTTCTGCGAATTAGAATAGAACATTAAAATAAATAATAATCCAAATAATTAAAAATCCTAAAAATGAATTACACATAACACAACTAACAGTACATAATTAATTTCGAATTGTTCAAGATTTACCTAACAATTATTTACAAATTAGTGATTGTGCCACTAAACACACCTAACAGATAATCTAATTGTGATATATATATATATATATATATATATATATATATATATATATATATATATATATATATATATATATATATATATATAACCTGAAATTGTAATGGCTATATAGTAACACTAATTTTATTTGACAAACTCTTAAGTATAACATTGTCCACAATAAATACCATTACAATTGTTAAGATTATATATCTAATTAATTACACATAACAATTCAAAATTAAATATATAAATAAATAACTATATACATATCTATATATTTATTTATTAATTTATATGTATAAACTATTTAAATATATATATTTTCTGTATATATATAATTTGCCGCACATAATATATATATATATATATATATATATATATATATATATATATATATATAAATTATTATTGTTTTATATATATATATACATTAATTATTATTGTTTTTCCGGTCGGAATATTGAGAGAAGAGGAAGGAGGCTGATAAGCCTTCTCCTTCGCTTGACCTCTCCTTCTCTCATGTCTGAACCGCTCTGTTCTTCAGCAATTCCAAACGATCTTCCTATATTTCTCTGTCAAGCCTAAATCTAGATCAGTCCTAAGTCGTAATCTCCGATTCAACTGTTCTTATTGAACATTATTTCTGGAGAAATTGTAGTCGGGTCTCGCTTAGCATCGATCCGATTTTCAATACACAATCCCGATCTTTCCTTTCTGTGAAAGATCGTAGTGTTCAACAACGGTAAATGGTGGCAATCGCGTTTCAGTGAAGCTAATTCTCCAATTCTAAGGTTAGTATGCTTTAAATCTACACAAAACTTGTTTAGGGTTTTGTACTTTTCATTGTTCTTTGTTCTAAAATTGATCTACATTTCTGGATCTACGCATGCATATCGACAATTCATAGTCCAATTTATTGATTTCAGATTTGTATGATTCATAGCCATTAGTGTTCTAAACCGTATTCTTTTTAGAAATTGCTCTAAAAACACCAAATAGAAATTACTCTTAACTGTTTAACAATCATTTTCAAAATGGTATAGCTATATTATTATTCACA